GTCTATTCAATTTTTTAAGTGATTAGTTTTTTTTTTTTTTTTTTTTTAAATTACTTTTTGAATATAAACTTATAACATAAACCTTTAAATATCTACTTCGAAAGTGTTTTTAAGTTGGGGGGAATATATGAAGATATGTTCTTTTTACATTCAGTTTGTCCAATGCTTGATTAATTAAAAGTAGATATTTCTAAAAAATTATAGAACGATATTACATATGTACTTTTCCCATTTAATAATTCTTGAATAAATAAAACATTGACATCGTGTCGTTATTCAGGATGGCAGTTCTGAATCATGAGATCAATTTGGGTTTTATAATAAAATTAAAATACTTAACCAAATTAGCAAGTCAAATGGGTGATTAATGTATTGTTATATTTTAAATATTATATTTATAAAAACATTAACTTTGGTCATATATATATATATATATATTATATATATATATATATATATATATATATATATATATATATATATATATATATAATATATATATATAAAAGGTTGAGATCGATTGAGAACTCATAGTTTTCTGAGAACCTGAGAATTAAATGTGGAACCTTAAATCAAAATTAACTCATTAAGGGTATGATCGTAATCTTATCGATCTCATTTAATGTTTATTTTTTTGTGTTATTGGATAAAATTAACATAATAAATCAAGTTTTGGATTTTAATATTTTTTTAAATGGAGTTTTTTTAATTTTTTTTTTCAGAAAAACAAGATTTTTTAAAAAAAAAAAAAAATCTAATTTTTTTAAAAAACTGCAAAATTTTTCAAAAAAAAAAAAAAAACTACATTTAAAAAAACTACAAAGTTTTCAAAAAAAAAAAAAAAAAAACCTGCAATTTTTTTTATAAAAAAACTGCAATTTAAAAAAAACTCCATTTTTTTTAAAAACTGATTTTTTTTTAAAAAAAAAACTGCAATTTAAAAAAAAAAACCTACAATTTTTTATAAAAACAACTGCATTTTTTTTTAAAATAACTGCAAATTTTTTATATTGTAATATTCGTAAGTAAATCATAAAAGATCTTATTTTTATTAATCAATCTAAATACATAATGGTGCAAGTATTTTGTTCGATACAAAATAATATATAAAAAATAAAAAGAATAAAAACTTCAAAGATTCACAATGTTATCATTTCTTCATATCAAGATTTCCATATTTTCTTCAATTTATCACTTTTTGCATCTTCAAAATTTTCCATAAATTCTTTGAAATCTACAAAAAAAAAAAATGATTAATAAAAAAACACTCACAAAAATGCATATGTATATATATCATGTAAGATTCACATTCGATTATATAATGTAATATTCACATGTGATTGTAACTTTTAAAAATCAAATGTGAAATTCGTAAGAAAATAAAAAACGAAGAACACTCAAACAAAATTACATGTGATTTATATGTGAATCACATGTAATTCATATTTGATTCACTTGTGAATTACATGTGATTCATATGTAAATTACATGTGATTTATATGTGAATCACATGTCATTCATATTTCATATGTGATTCGCTTGGGAATTACATGTGATTCATATATGAATTACATGTTATTTATACGTGAATCACATGTGATTTATATGTAAATCACATGTGATTTATATGTGAATAATATGTGATTTATATGTGAATCACATATAATTCATATGTGATTCATATGTGAATTACATATAATTCATATGTGAATTACATGTGATTTTCATCAATCAGACATGTAATGTAACTAACCATCTAAGTTACTGTCAAGGAATTACATGTGATTCAAGAACAATAATTAATCAATAAAAAAGGAACGGTTTTTAGTAACTTTTTAATTCTTTTTTAAGAAATGAAAATTTTTTAGTCAACTAGAAAATTACCTGTGTTTTGGCTTTGAATCATAAATAGCTAATAGTTAAAGACGTAAAGATACTTTAGACATACATATTTAGCCTGTAATTTGCAATCACAAAATAAACAAAGTGTAGCTAGTTGTACCTATGCCTTCTGAGATGGTGTAATCCAACATCATATAGTTGTGTGTGATAATATTTCCAACTATGTGAATGTTTTCCGATAATAATTGAGTGCAATTTCAAGAGCCCATCCATCAATCACAAAAGCCACATCCTGCAACAAAATACATACATATCTTATAATTAAATTCAAAACAAACAAACACAACAAGTAATTGCATCAATAATAAATTTAATTCATTTGTTACCTTAGGTTCTTCTTTTGTTATCTTCACCGTAAGAAAAATTCTTTCCATATTTCTATAAACTTCATCTTTTGTTTTTCCATTAACTAATAGAAGCTGGCCTTTGGGTTCTATACATGATTGAAACATAATGAAAATTGAAAACTAAAAACAATTCATAAATTCTAAAATTTAATCAAACATGGAAAACTATCATTCCTACTCAAGATACAGGTAAACTCAAGAAGTAATAACATAATTTTGTTCATTTGTTTACTTTATAATTGAAAAAATAATTGAAATGGTAAGAAATAGGGCATCGATAAAAGTAAAATGTGTGATTAGGAGGTGAAGTGATCAATTAAATCATTAAGTTGTATTTAAATTGAAATGGTAAGAAATAGGGCATCAATAAATAACACATTGACATGGTGACATGTTATTTAGGGATGGCAGTTCTAAATATGAGATCAATTTGGGTTTATAATAAAATTAAAATATGTAACCAAAGTAGCAAATCAAATGGGTGATTAATGTATTGCTATATTTTAAATATTATATTTATAAGAACATTAACTTTGGTTATATATATATATATATATATATATATATATATATATATATATATATATATATATATATATATATATATATATATATATAGTTTCAAATGTTTCTAGCAACTATTGTGTGCATATATGCACCAACGAGAATTCATAAAATAATTAAATCATTAATAAATAATAGAAGGGTATAAGAGTAATCTATACTATAATTAATTATAGTAAAAAAACAAAATCAATTAATATCCCATTAGTTTAGGTTATTAGTTTCATAAACCTATAACACCACAACCGATTCCCCCTCTTTCTCTAAAAATCATCATCTAGAACCACCATCATCTCGTTCTCCCTTCACAAAACCAAAAACCCTTCTCCTCTCCTTATTTCGACACCACCAGAGCAGTAGCACCACCCCATACCACCGTAGAACCACCAACTTTATGGATCAGAGAATAAGGGGTTTTAACAGTGCTTGGCTACCAAACAATTTCCCCTAGGTGCGAAATTTCTAGGGCTCGAAAAACCCTCAGATAGAAGGTTGTTTCAGAATCGTTTTCCATTTATTCGTATGGCATCGACATTGTTATTGGTTGTCGTATTCTTGTTCAGTGTTGTTTATTTTCCACTTGTTGCTGTCGAGAAGATGAGAACTTTTGTGAGTTTTTTCATTCTTTAAAATTTCTCCAACTTCATCTGTATCTATGTGCAAGTTCCAAATATATTTTACAATTCTTTGGATGAAATTGGATTATATAGTTTGTCTAATAATCGATGAGTTAAATTATCGTTGTGTTGGTTCATTTTGGGTTCAAATTTTTTTAGAGTGAATAACCGACAGTTTTTGTATTTCAATCTTGTTTTCTCTATTTTTTATTAATGTTTTTACTTTATTATCAATTAGCAAAATCTCATTGTATATGTTATGGGAACCAAAATCTCATTGTCTTTGCATTGTCTATTTCTTCATTGGACCTTTATCAACCCTAGTTTCTTCATTTGTTTTTTATATTTGATTGTTGTAAATTTGTCTTTGATGAAAAGGGTTAAGCTGACATTCTATCAGAATTTGCATGAAAAGGGTTAATGATGTGTGTGGAATGAACTAGTTTTAATCCTACTAATTTAGATACAGAAACAAACACACGAAAGGCAGTGTACCTATCGATTAACAGCTTAGTTCAGGTAAGTAGGGTATCAAACACAGAGAACGGTAAACAATTAAAATAAATGCTAATATTATCTAAATAAAACAAGTAATAGAAAGGGGGGTTTTCTCTAGTTTTACAAGACTAGAAACTTAAATAGACTAACTAACAGCTAAAGCAAGTAAATACCGCTAAATTCAATAGTTAAGAGGACTTCTGTTTAGGTTCGAATGATTTGTTCCCATGGATGATTTTATGGTAAATGCATCGGATTAATTCTTCATTGGTTACCAATTAAAGTGATTAGGTTCACATTCACTATTGCTAATCCTTATAAAACATATTAATTCAAGCAATGACCAATTATCTAAATTAATGTATTTCCTAGTTTATTGATTTGGATTAAGTAAGACTTGTAATTAGTAATCAAATTGGTGATTCAATTAACCTCTTGTTGATGGTGTATCACACAAGCTCACACATTAATTTACCTATCTTCTAGTTAATTCTAGTTTCACATTCGTTATTCCTAAACATATAACTATGTGGTCACATCAATCATATGAAATTTATAACTAAGAGATGTTCATACAACTTAATTACTGATTTATTAATAGAGAATAATTGTTATTGTCACACCCCCGAACCAGACGGCGGAAATGTTCGAGGGCTATTGTGACTTAATTGAATACCATCACAATGAATATACATGAATCATAACATCATTCACCACCATGCATTGAAATATTACAACCGATATTGTTTACATTCAGTACATTGTTTTAAAGCATTACATTTCCAAAACATAAACCGTTCGATATTAACTAAACAAAACATCATGATATCACTGGATACATTTTCTTCGATTTACATGTTACCTGAGAATACAAGTATTTTGGAAAAACGTCAACATATGAAATGTTGGTGAGTTCATAAGTAATGTTTGAAAAGTAATGATTTGTATTATTTTTGAAAACCACCAGAAAATCCAATATTTTCTGAAAAGAGTATTGTAAATAAGAAAAAGTGTGAAGATCCGTAAGTATGCTTGTTGATTTCTGTAAATGTGAATAATTGTTAGACTTTGT